AATGTAAATTATCTATAATAAAATTGGCCTCAAGTGGTGAAATAAACAGGTTTTTGATAATTCTTCATAAAGGTTGAACTAGCCTAGCTAACTTTTTACTAGGTGAAATAAGAAACAACGAGAATAAAGCTTTACAAATCTAACGTAGACTACCACTATTTACTCGCTTGTTAAGAGGTATTCCTGAGATAGGAAGCGGAATAAAATGGGTTCAAAATTTCAAATGGGGGACCGAAACACCAAGTACTTTTGACTGTGTGATAAAAAAAAAAAGAACCAAATCTATTATTCACAAAATTTTAGTGAAAAATGGAGATACATTTGAAGGTCCAAATCAAGAATTTTAGCGATTAATTACTTTCATGAGCTATTTACACATGAATCTTCTGAGCTCCCCAATTCTCAACTAGATTTAATCCCTCAATAATTGATGAGTTTAAAAGCACTATGAAATAAATAAAGGGTGGGTTTGGGATGTTGGGTTCAATCATGGGTTGGGTTTGAGTGCTGTTTGGTTCGTTGGGCATTCAGCAGCGCTACCTTCTCTTCGTCTTCCTCAGCTTCAGAAGAGTCACAAATGAGAAATGATTTATGATTTTGGAGTGAAATCGAGTGGGGGGGTGGGGTGGGGTTATGGTTGATGTATAATAATAATAATAATAATAATAATAATAATAATAATATTATTATTATTATTATTATTATTATTATTATTATTATACAAAAGTTGAATTATCTTCTGATTTTTGAACCAAAAACTTTTAAATCTGATTTTTGGAATTGAAAAGTTAAAAATCACACAATGTGTTGATGTAATTTCCTCTTTTTAAATTCATTGAAAATTTAGTTAAGCCCATGTGAAAGGGCCCCCCCCCCCCCCCCCCCCCCCCATTTTTCTTATTGTCAAAAGTCCTTTATTTTGATTTTATTATTACAAAAAATTGACAAAAGATTATTATTCTATTTATTTCTTCTTTTATTCAATTGTAATTAAGAAATATTCTTCTTTAACTTTTAATTCAGCCAACCTGAGAACGAGTAGTATAAAAAGTAAGGGAAAATTTTACTTTTCTCCATAGTTCAAAGTTTGTATTCCGTCATCGATTTATTTATTTATTATTTATTTTTTGCCTCTTTTGTTGTGCTTATATTCTGTCGTTAGTTAACTTTCTTTATCAACAGGGAAAAATTTGTAATTATTATACTTTAAGTTATATTTTCAAAAAACTAAAATAATAATAATAAACTTTTCACATTTCAGGTTATTGTTGTTGTTATTATTATTATTATTATTATTGTAAACAATTGATTTATATAAGATGAAAGTGTAACATCTATTGGTGATCATTAAAAGATAATTGATTTTTTAACTTCATTGAATAATATAACAACTATCCACTGATATATATAGACTAAAGATAAAGTCTATTATATTTGAATGAAGAGTATTACTCATACGAAATATTGGGTTTAATTAATCCATGCAAATAATGTTGCTATCGATAATTTACTACCACAGCATTTTTTGAACAATCATGAATTGTTAATTTTAACGAAGATTAGTACCATCATTAAAATATTAACTATGTACATATATTAGATAATGATCTTCAAATACAAGAACTCGAAATTCTCAATAGATAAAAGAGTATAATTTAATAAGATACCTTTATCAAAGTCATATCTTGGGTGGAGATTTCAGCGACGTTATGTGTTTCACAACTTAAATAATATTTCATATTTAGACCGCAACATCATATTAATATATAGCAACATCAAACCCAAATTAATTCGGGTATTGAAAAGTTTACAATATGCTTAATAAATGTAAGGTTTAATTGGTCCAAGCAACTCATCCAGAATTAAGTGAAAATGTACCTCTCAATTGAAGTGGTTTATTTGGGAATCAAATTTTAACGGTCATTAACAAAATATTATTTTTGATGAAAATTAGTAACTCTCGTTAAAATTTCATTTTAAACAACATAGATAATGATTTTTAGATCCTAGAATTTCTATGCTCAATAGATACAAAGTTCTACTACACGTACGTAACAATTTTTGACAAATACCTTACAGAATACACACGGCATAAGATGAGTGGGTTAATTTTTTGGGTTGTTTTACTCACATGGGGCTCACTCTCCATATAAGTATCTGGAATTCTTCTATAGACACACAATGCATTATTAGTCGTTTTTCCACATCTTTTCAAATATGTTGTTACGTATGAATTTCATTACTTGGACTCTTTTGGGAGAAATCATGATACATTTTAAAGCGTACCTAAGGGTATTAGTTAGCCTTCACGTTATTTTGCAACGTCAGCTAGAATTATCATTTTGTCATGGTGTGGTAATTTTCATTTTATTTTTTTAAGAAAATTTATGCATAATTTCATGATTTGACCGAATGAGAAGTAGCAAACATCTCATTGAGTATAATTTGTTATACTTATCCCTCTTTATTTACAAATTTCAAGTAAAAATTAGCATACTGGAGGAAATCGATGGGTATGCCAGTGGACCTATAGATTCTCGTCACAAAGTACATATTTGTTAAATTTGATTAGTTTTGGACTAATATTATAATTTTTAATCAATCCTAGTTTTTTTGCATGTTTGAACTAGTTTTATTATTGTTTTGTTGAAAGATGTGATTCCAAAATGTTCCTTACATTTTATTAAATTAAATTTATCTTTTATTGAAGGTTATTCAATTTTATTGAATATGTCATTACATTGAAATTTATTTTTTCAAACATGTTAAAAAAATTATTAGTTGCTAGAATTTGGGGTGTTACAAATAATAATCCAATTTAAATATAAGTAGGTAAGGCACCAATTGTCCAACAATAAAAATGTTAGGACAACAAAAATTCAATAAATAAAAATTACTATGCTGACAAGGCAACAACACTCCAAAAACTGACTTATTATAAATTTCTGATTAATTGTTTAAATATTATTTCTCCATTTCCAGCGAGTGAATGACACATGCAATTACGATAAATGAACGAATTGAATTATTATACATGTAAACATAAAGGAGTGGTTTCCTTCATTAAACAAGTCGCAATTGTTTTGGGAAGTTTTCAGTAATGCAACGCGAATTAATAGCAGTTGTGATCTTCTCCTTTTACGTTGACTGAAATATTGTGTACTTTATTCAGTTTTTTTTTTTTTTTTGGTAATTGACTTATTAGATCAAAGAGGGTCATTTTTAAAACTAAAAAGAAAAAAAAAACATATTTTGGTTTTGTCTTGACTAATTGAAATAGTTAGGAAATGGAGTAATGGGGATGGTGGGGTGCTGCAGGTGAGAAAGTAATGATGGTGAGGTGAAGGTGAGACATTAATGGCCGACAGAATGCTCCAAGCATTTTGACATTATGGAGAAGAACGATTTCACAATAATACTCCTTTCACCACAATATCGGAGTGTAGCCAGTTCCAGTGAGTGGAAAAGTGTTCGCCCTAATTTTGGTGCATTATTTCTTTAAAAGCACAAAAATAGCCCCTATTTGATAATTTTTTTTTTTTCAGATTGTAAGTTAAAATTGTATTTTAAAGTAATAAAAAATTTATTTGGCTCATTTTTTTTTTCACTTTTTATTAATTACATATTTCATGAAATTTACAGATTTATAACCCCAAAAACTTAGTCAATCAGGGGCTTAATTTCATTATAAATTATTTCAAAATCCATTCTCTTCCCATATTATAGTTTTGTCTTTGAGGTACCTTTGGTTTCGAAATCAATTTTCATTCCATCGAAATAGAGCGGCCGACATTTTTGACCAGTGAGTGAAAAATTGTTCACCCTAATTTTGATGCATTTTGTCTCTAATGGTCCGTTTGATTGCAAAGATGAAATTTGGGTAGAAAGAAAATGAATTCCAGAAATTGAATTACCTAGAAATTATTTTACTGGGAATAGTCAATTATTGTGTTTGATTAGTATAAATTTTCACGAGAAAAATGTTGAAATAAAAGTATTTTTTGGTGTTCGTTTGACTTTGTTTTACATGAAAATGTCAGTTAAAGGGATAGAATTTGTTTCCATTATAAAAAAAAGGTCAAGAAAATCACCTATCTGTTGTTATTCGTTCGGCTTTGTTTTATATGAAAATTATCAATTAAAAGAAAATATTTTTTCCATTGCGCAAAAAAATAAAATATCAACAGCATAGCCTAGAAAACCAATTCCCACCAAAGTGGGAATTAATTTTCCTTGAAAACCAAGAAAATGTCCATGTGGCAAGAAAATCAGGAAAATCAATTACCTTGAAAAAAAATGTTATCAAATAGTCAAAAAATGAAAGTTGGAATTTGAATCCATTCATTGTCCATGAAAAATAATGGCCAATCAAACATGGCCTAAAAGTACATACATAGCCCCTATTTGATAATGCTTTTTTAGCCCACCTTTTGAAAGCTCATTTTAATGATTTTTTTTTATTTACAAAATCTCATTAATCTAAAGTGAAAACCTAATAAAAAATGCAAAAGTTGAAACTGCTTTGTCACACTTTAATTTGCCTTTATTGGACTGTTGGAAATTGGTTGGACTCATTTACCCTCACCTAGCCAATTCTATTGACACCATTAACTATAATAACATGAGGGCAATTTTGGGAAATTGGGTGAATTATATGGGGACCACTCCATGGAAAAGTAAAAAAATGGTAGCGGTCTTGGTCAGAGTTATGCAATAGTTTCAAACGTGGGGGGACCACAAATTATAAAAATGAGATTAAAAAATTTGGAAAGAATGGGAACTAAACACACGCTAATTTAAGTTAAAATTGTATTTTAAAGTAATAAAAAATTTAATTCGACTCATATTATAGTAAGTAATAACTCACTTCCTCAACAGGAACAAGTAACTCCATTATTTCACATTACAAGAATTACAATGCAATTTTTCGAATTTTAATCTAAAAATAAAACAAATATTAATAACAAGAAAAAGCTATTTTGTCTTTTAGCTGAATATGAAATCCTATTTTTTATGAAAATTATGGTTCCCTTGCAGATATTCTGCCCTCAACGCTGCTTCCTTGACTGTGTTAGCCATCGCAGTGAAGTTGTCAATGGATCTAACTACCCCGATGGAAGGTAGGTATGATCAAGCCACTAAAGGTAGTAGCTCTGCTTTCCTGTTTGTTTCAACCACTCATTTCATGCCTTCTCTGGGATCCATGAGTGATAGAGATATAATAGTGAACTTGACAGCATTGGATATCCTTATAGTGACGCTTACCGTAAATGTTATCATCCAAATATCCACAGGCGTAATTGAAGATAATTTCCAAGTGGTGGTTGTCTTTTTGAACGTTTATGCGTTCATTGTATTGAGTTCTGCTGCTTTAACGATATTTACAAGTAAAAGGTATTTGGAACGCAAGTACAAAGAATTGCAAACAAGAATTTTGGCAGCGGAACTACAAGGAGACCAAATAATGGACTTTGACAAGTTAAAGTTGTGCGTGAAGAAGTATTGGGTGATGACAGAAACAGGTAACCCTCAGTTTGTGATGGCAAGATCTGAGGCCAGCGTTGTTTTATTCATGATCTGCATCTTCAGTTATATCGTTAACGGAATAACGTTTAACGAACCATATGAGACAAATACTCCTCCTGATTATAAATGGTCAGTATATTTTGTTTATTGGACTCAATATGTAGGCTTGACTCCTTGCACTGTCATGTCTTCGGGAAGACTTTTAGTAGCTTTAATTCTCACTGTACGGAATATTAGAAAATGTACCATCTCTAGCATTTCCTCAGAAATAAAGAATTACGGGATCAAAAGATTGGTAGAGTGGAAAAATAGACTCCCACCGTCACAAATTCGAGGCCAGAAGCTTAGAAAAATTATTTATCACATTAGAAATCTACTTCTCAACTTGTGTATAGTAAGTCAGATGGTGGTTCTGACGGCGAATAAATTGCAAGTGCCAATATCAATTTTTCTATCTCTCTACTTACTGGTAATGCGTCCACCGGGCATTCACGTAGTAATTATAATCCCATCGATCTTCGTACTCTTTATTTATATCTTGAGGATGAAAATCATTAGATTCTTAGTGATGTTAGAGAAATTTTTCGTAAGGGGAAGCGCAGGTCTCATTCAATCCCAATGAATCGGAACACATGCCAAGATATGAGAAAGATCTTAGAAATTTTGTTTTACTCCTAGAAGGTGAAGCAATACGAGATGGATACCTGATGTTCATTAACACTTCTATTAATTCATACATAATGATGGGTGCAAAGAATCAGCCTAGATATCTAACGGAGCTTATGGAGAATTCTACCAGCTTCAAGGGTGTATCAAAATTTGAAAGTGATCAAATCTCACTGATTATTTGCACAAAACCTCTTAATTGCTGGAGTCTATCCGTGGCAACGCTAACTAGCATCACAATTGCTCTTCCCAATGTTCTAAATGAGAAGAAGAATCACTTTATTAGAAGTGTCATAGAAGGTTTAAAGTATGTGCGCCTAATGGAGAAAATTTTGGATGTTCATAAAAAATTTGTGAGCAGCATGAGTACTGCAGATTTTGCATGGGTTTTAGTTGAATTGAGGCACAAGTGGTTAGACATGGATCTTCAAAAAATTGTCAGGGTATCAAAATCCTCCAAAGAAACTCTTTAGAATCTTGCAAATAGAAGTGAAGAAATTTTGAAGAAATTCACAAGTAGAATGAATGTATATGCTATGAAAAGCTCAGTTGACTTAATTGAAAACATCATAATTACCAATTCAATGTACAAAATAAGCAACAGTTTGCTGTTCGTCTATGGGAAAGCTATCATTTAGCATCAAGTACTCAAGTATTTGAGAGATTATCAATTATCGTTGCAGATATATTTGCTCCATGCCTGACCAATTTACCTCATGTTATACTCAAGAAATGCTACCATAGCGCCATAGCAGAATGGGAGAAAAGCATCCGAGAAGCAACTCACCTTTTAGGAGAAACTGAAGGCATTTTGAAAGCTCTTCAGAAACTTGAAATTCCTAATCTATCACCTGAATAGTCAATTTACATTGACGAATGTCATACTTTACTCAAACACACTAACCATGGTATTTCGGACTCAATTCCTAGCAGTGAGAATATTGTTACTGCTTCAAGTGGTGAGGTACATTTGGATATACAAAAACTTTGTGCAAGTGTATGAGCATACCTTATTCTCTAGTTCCATTCAGATTTAGCCTCAGATTTATTATTATTATTTATGTTCCCATTACTACGACATCAGTTTTATTAAGGCTTCTATTGAATTTACATTTCACTAAGTAAAAATTAATAAACAAGTTATTTTGCATCTCATTATAAATAACCAAAAAAATGCATGAAGCCAATGTTAGTGTTGCCTAATATATATTTTTTTGAAAATTGTTGAAGGCAATGCAGAGTCTCATATGGCCTTGGAAGCGGAAGAGTTAGGAGACGAAAAAAAGAACCACCAAGCATAAGACCCTAACATCTCCACTTTTTGGAAGTCATTGTTTATTAACATCCTTTTTTTTTTTATCTTTTTTTTTCTTTGGCCATACAAATGTTGTGAATTGCCAGTCATTCGGTAACATTTGTGTTAGCATGAAAACCTAGTGGCATATTATTAGACATTATTATGCATATTGTGAAGATTAAAAGTGTCGTTATGTTGTTATAATTTGTTGATGAATACAATAGAATATTATTCACTTATTGTTGGGTTGTAATGCCAAACGAGTCTTGGGGCAGCGATGATCCATGATTGATCATCAAGCTTTGGCCTAAATTGGAGACAAACCAAGTGTTCCAACCCTCACTAGATCAGTCCAAACCTGGACCCATTTAAAATTCTACTTTAAGACACGTTTTACTGGGATTGCCATCCGGTTACAACTTCATTGTATTTGAAGCAATCTAGATAATTAGATTAGAAACATGGTCAATGATTTTAAGGCCAATCCATTGCCCCTAGTGTTTGAGAGGAAACCGTGCTTCTCTGATGTTGTAAGTTTTAGAACTCTATGTGCTAAAGATCTGGGTCCGGCATTAGGGGGGGACACGGCTTCGAAATCTGAGCCCTAAAATTGTGTTCATCTTGGTGCTGATTACTACTTTACGTGCATAATGATATGTAGAATTGTTGTGTAGTTTACTCTTTACTTCACATGAGAGCTTTATATTAGTGTTATGGGTACTTTAGGTAAAACACTTTAGGAAGATGAACCATCAGTTTAGGGTATTGCAAATGATCTCACACAATTCTCAGGGCTCTAGATGATTTTGAAGATTTGGTTTTGGATCAGTGAAAGTTTTTAGTGTTCTTTCATCTGGATTTGAATATGCCCATTAAATCTAGTCTAGATGATAATACTTCTCTGGGGAACATACTCTAGCTTGACAAAATTTGTAGCATTGGAAAATTATCCAAGGTTTTTGTTTTTGTTTGAATGGTAGTTGACGTGTAACTTGAATTATTTTAAGGTTTTCTATGCATGATTAATTTAGTTAGGATGTTAACCTCCTAAGTGCATATCTGCGAGCATAACCACATTGTCGATGAAGCATAAAATGATTACTAAATATATTATTTGTCAAACAATTAAATGATCAATAAAGTATTTGAAGCAATTTATTGGTTTTGAACATGCTCTTGGTAATGTATTTGAAGCAAATTTGGGTGCTATGGACCTTGATATGGATTGTAACATTGCTGATGACGCGAGACAGTTAACCCTTGGTTTTTAGCTTCATTTTTCAAAATTCACTTTTTTTAAACTCATTTTTCAACACTCACATTCTCTTAATAAAATAATTTTGCAAGGAATAAAACTTTTTTCTTACTTTTTAATCACACATTCTCCAAAAAAATCATTCTTACAAAATCTATACTTAAAAAAATGGGATTCAAACAAGGACTTTAGTTACCTTGACGTACAAACTCTATTAGCCTGATTCTTTTCAATCTACTGTAGTACGTGCAATATCAACCGCGCATAAAAGGATGGAACTTTGGGATAGTCTAAAAGTGCTTTCAAGCAATATGATCCACCCTGGTTTTTTTTCAGGTGTGATTTTAATGTGCTCTTTTATCAGCCAAGAATGATTCGGTGTCAAACTGCCAAATCCAGGTGTTATTGATGATTTTTCAGAACATGTGGATTCAAGGTGACCAATTTGAGGACATTTTTCTAAGGAACTAGAAACAACCAATTGCTGAGACAAGGCTCTTGGTTTTTGAGTGTAAATTATCTAGACTAAAAATTGAAATTAAGTGGCGGAATAAACAAGATTTTGGTAATTCTTCACAAAGGTTGAACTGGAATAGAAAAGGAGCTAACTTATTACTATGTGCAATCAGAAACAACAATAATATAGCTTCACAAATCTTATGCAGAATACAACTATTTACTAGCTTGCTAAGAGATATTCCTAAGACAGAAAGCTGGAATAAAATGGATTCAAGTGGAGGATTGAAACACAAATTATCTCCTCAACGTGATTAAAAAAATAAAGAAATAACTCTATTATTAACAACATTTCATTGGAAATGGAGATACATTTGAAGATCCGAATCAACAATTTTAGCGATTAATGTTGGGTTTTGAAAACTTTATAACATGCTTATTGCTTACAGATGTTAGGTTTTAAAAAAGTTTGCGATATGCTTACAAACAGGGGCGGACCCACATGGGGTCATGTGGGGTCAAATGCCCCCACATTTTTTTGGAATTTTTTTTTTTTTTTTGATGTTGAAATTTTCTGTTTTTTTTTTGTGCTGAAAACTTAACTTTTTGTCCCAAAAAGTCCAAATTCTAAATCTATATCCATATCACATGGTCCATATCCATTATTTAGTCCATAAATATATCATATAATCCAACGATTTCTTCCCAAAGTGCACATATCGAACATGAACAACAAACAACCGATTTTTTCTTTTTTTCATGATACGTTGTTCGAAAAAAAAAATTTTGACCCCACAGTTCAGATGGTCTGGGTCCGCCCCTGCTTACAAATGTTCAGAGTTAAAAGGCTCTAATCTCTATATTATTATATTGGTTTTGACAGCCTCTGGCCCGTTTACTTAAATAAACAGAATTAGTTTGGAAAGCTTCAAATTCATTGTTCGTGTAGAAACTGTGTTTGATGAAATCTGAAGTTTGAATTTATTCAACACAAACATTCAAGGCTAAAACATTTCCTCTTGTTAACCAAAAAAATTCTGAATCTAAACCTCAGCCGTCGATTTATTAATCTGAAGTAGGCACGAATCATCAGGGATTCCAAATTGTAACAATACTAGTCTTTGCCCGTGCAATGCACAGGTTGGATTATTTTGAACGTAATGCTAGTGTGTTAAATATGTTGGGTTATAGTGTGTCGCTTTCATCATTTGCATTGATAGGTGATGAAAGAATCATTTATTAATAAATATAGATTGCATTATAATTAAATTGATAGTATGTAATTGTCTAGATATTTAGAAATCAAATGTATAAATATCAAACCACGAGCATTTATAGTATGGAATTCAATTCTTTCTTCCACGTCAACTTTTGGTCTGGACACAAAGGCTCCAGTTTCAAATACTAGCCGAACATCGAAGCTACATGACAAAAGTTAATGAGATTTTTTTTTTAAAGCATGAAGGACTCTTTTAAAATGTTAGTTGGGCTACAATATTTGAAATAGTAGCATAACTATTTGTCATGGCATTTGAAATAGTCACTAAGATTTGCTATATGGCATTCAAAATAGTCATTGCGGCGTAAAAAACGAAGAAAAATTAATGGACCAAGTCAAGATACTTAGCAAACATCAAACATGCTGTCTCCGCTCACGAGATAATAAAACTAATAACCCGCTAGATTTTTAACTATCTTCCCAACTATAGATGTTAAACTGCAAGTTTTTACTTCGTCAATTCACCAAATAGAAAATGATTAAATTAGTATCATTTGGTACACAAGCAAATTTCAATTTATAAGTTATCTTAGAAACTTCCAACAAAGGTTTACTTACATGGTGAAAGAGCAAGATAGAGGTAAAATGTTGCATTCTTCTGGTCACGCTTTATAAGACACTGATATGGACACTCGTGAGGCCCTGGCTACAAAATAAAAGAAAGTTAGAGTATCAACCAACATAATTTCTAAAATTCTTAGTTCAGCATAGATAAGGTTTAAAGATATCACGTATTTTTAAACAATAATGAAACACGCTGAATGCAAATAACATAAAAAACTAAAAACAATCAATAACCACCAAAACTTTTTTGTCCAAATCGCATATCCAATGCTTTCAGTTAATCAACTAATGCAGATTGTCTTCTCACTTCATACTATAGTTTCCATCTCAAGATCTCTCCTTCGACCCTCTGAGTTTCAATATTTCAGATTTTGAGAATCAGCGTGGAAGTGTTTTCTTTGTCAAGGAGAAATGAAAGTGAGAGAGAGCAAAACCCACTCTTGAGGGACATTTTGTGAACTAGTTAATGAATAGTACAAACCAAACAAGTGAAAACTCAAGTGACAAGAATGAATAGTGATCCCATTATTTCTAAATTAAATATTAATAAAAATATTACACTATCTATAATGTAAAAAGTTGCTTATAAGTAAAAAAAGCAATTCGAGTTATTTAAAAGTAATAAAAAACTTATAATTGTAAAAGCTATTTATAGGTAAAAAAAAAATTAATTCCTCATTCTATTATAATTGCAAAAGCTACTTATAAGTAAAAATATATTAACTTAACATTTTTTTAAGTATAAATATTTAGATATATTTAATTTATTAAATTAAACATTAATAAACAGATTACACTAACTAGAATGTAAAAAGTTACATATAAGTTTAAAAAAAATCACTTCAAGTTATTTAAAAGTAATAAAAAATTATAATTGTAAAAGCTACTTGCAAATAAAAAAATATTAATTTCAACATTTTTAAGTACAAATTTAGATATATTTAATTTTTTAAATTAAATATTAATAAAAATTTACTATAAATAAAATTTTAAAAAGAAAAAAAAACATCGTACATGGAGTGAAACTCACTCCGTGCACGAAGTGTTGACACTCCGTGCATGGAGCCAGCACGGAATGTTGCATGGAGTGGCTCCATGCACGGAGTGTTGAATGGAGTGTTAAAATGTTTGTTTGTTTATTTGTTTTTTAAAGTAATTTTTTTAGTAATATTTAATTTAAAAAATAAATATCTCTAAATATTTACTTAAAAATATTGAAGTTAATTTTATTTTATCTATATAAGTAACTTTTACAATTATAAATTTTTAATTACTTTTAAATAAGTTGAAGTGATTTTTTTACTTATAAGTAACTTTTTACATTATAGATAGCGTAATATTTTTATTAATATTTAATTTAAAAAACTAAATATATCTAAATATTTATAGTTAAAAAATTTTAAGTTAATATTTTTTTTTATAAGGTCCTTTTGCAATTATAAGAGGAGGGATTAGTACTTTTTTTACCTATAAATAGCTTTTATAATTATAAGGTTTTTATTACTTTTAAATAATTTGAAGTGCCTTTTTTTACTTATAAGTAACTTTTTACATTTTAAATAGTGCAATCTTTTTATTAATATTTAATTTAAAAAATTAAATATATCTAAATATTTATACTTAAAAAAATTTAAATTAATATTTTTTTACTTATAAGTAGATTTACAATAATAAGTTCATTTTACTTTTAAATAACTTGAAATGACCTTTCTAGTTATAAGTAACTTTTTACATTTTTAGATATAAATAATAACTATTATGTAAAAAATTATTTAAAAATTATTATTACTAATAAAATTATAGGATATGATCGATAATTGATAGCGTAAGAAAATAAAGAAAGAGTACCGTGCGTCCGATTCAAAGCATGTAAGATGCAGGTAAAATAGAAAACAATGTCGTTTCTGCTCCACCAATTAAAAAAAAGCTACAATTTGACAAAATATTATTTAAAAAAATAGTACTACAAATAAAATTATAGGATATGATTGATAGTTGATAGCATGAGAAAATGGAGAAAGAATATTGTGTATCAAATTTAAAGGACCAAACTAGTTTCAAACCTGTTCAATGTGAAAATCGACGTGACAAAAATAAATAGTAAGATAAGGAGGGATAATATAATAAAAAAATCAAACCATTTTGACCAAACTCATTTCAAATCAGTTGAATGTGAAAACGCATGTGACAAAAATGCACTGTCCAGTTTTGTGCAAAAAAAAGCATATCCTATAATTTTATTAGTAATAATATTTTTTAAACAATTTTTACATAAAAGTTATTCTTTATTTCTAAAATGTAAAAAGTTACTTATAAGTAAAAAAATAACTTCAAATTATTTAAAAGTAATAAAAAATTATAATGGTAAAAATTAATTATAGATAATAAAATATTAATTTCAACATTTTTAAGTAATTATTTAGATATATTTAATTTTTTAAAATTAAAAATTAATAAAAATTTTATTATAATTTAAAAAATGAAAAAGAATAAAATTCATAAATAACAAAAAAAGTCATAATATAATATTATCAGTTACTGTTGTACCCGATGATACTTTATAGCATAAAATTCATCAATAATAGAATTTAAATCTAAATTCAAAGAAAACTCTCGTTCAATGTAAAGTGTCATACAATCAGCAAGGAAATCAACATCTATTTTGTTACGAATTTCCGTCTTCACATGTTTTATTGCAGAAAATGCTCGCTCCACGGTAGCCGTTAAAATAGGCAGTGTCAATACTAGACGAATCAATTTAGTCAAAGTGACGTAATACTCCGATCTTCTACTTGCAACCAAATCTTGACATAAATCATAAAGTGTAGATATTTGAAATTGAGGTTCAGAAATCACATCATGTTGATAATGTTGCAACTCAACTTTCAAACTATAAATATCTTGCTGTGTAAAATCTTGAGGATAAAATTTCTCTGCAAGCTTGCATATATTATCTATGTTAAATGATTCAAAAGAATTTTTCGAATCCAATGCCACGCCGAGAGAAAGGAGTTCTAATGATGTCTCATTAAATCTTGTATCTAACTCCATCATCATAAAATCTATGGCTACATTAAAAATATCGAAGTGGTAATGATGTTCGATGGTAGGATACTCACGACCACAAGAACGACCAACCATATATGAACCATGAAAGTCAGGTATATATATATCATTTTTTCAGCAAAAAAAATTCACCTCTTCAAGAAATTCTTCCCAGTGATCTTCTTTCAATTCTTGAATGATAGTTTTTGTAGTATGGACAAATCTCATAGCAGTTAAAATGTCTTGAGTTTTTTTCTGAAGGGCTTGATAAAGCACATCCGTGATTGCCAACATTCTGCGCATTAAATGCAAAATAAATACAAATTCAAATGTTGTCAATTTTTTGTATACACCACCCACTTCAGATCGAGTTCTTACATTTGGAGAATGATCACTAAGATACTCAAGCACCTTGTAAGTTACAGCATATATATCAATCAAACTCTTTACAGAGTTGTAATAAGAAGACCAACGAGTACCTCCAGCTCATTGCAAGTTACCAATTTGACTAGCCCCACTTCCAGTCTCTCGTTCTCTAATTTCCAACAAATGTTCAATTTCATTTTTTTTGGGAACTTTTCAACTCATTGATGCAGTTAGGAGATGATGTAATTATATAATTAACATTGTCCAAATCTGAAAAAAAACTAATTAATATCTGCGACATCCCTAGCTGCTGAAACCAACGTGAGTTGTAAAACGATGGGCAAAACAACGGACATAATATGCATATGGACAATCTATAAGAAATAATGCTTGTAATCCATTCCAAGCACCACGCATGTTATTAGCACCATCATACCTTTGACCTCTCATATTTTGCACTTGAAGGTTGAAACGAACAAGAACTTCAGAAATTTGATTCTTAATATTCAACGATGTAGTGTCACTAACACTTTTGATTGCAAAAAAAACGTTCTGTCAAAATTCCATTACCATTCACAAACCTTAAGATAATAGCCATTTGTTCTTGTGAAGATGCATCTCGAGCTACATTAACAAGAATACTAAACTTTGCATCCCCAATTTCTTTACGGATTCTTTGTCTTACTCTATTAGCCATAATGCTCAAAATCTCTTTTTGAATGTCTGGGGATGTGTATGTAGCATTTTTTGGAGCATTACCCAACACAACTTCTCCTATTTTTGTATTCATTTTTCCAAATGCATCTACCATTTCAAGAACATTCCCACGATTCAGTGAAGATGGAGATTCATCATTACCTCTAAATAAACAACTTTGAAGTGCTAGCCACCGAACACTCATAATTGTGGTCATTAGATGCAAATGATTTTTCTGTTTTTCCTCACTTGATACAGCGTGTATTACCTTGTCAATATGTTGAGTTGGTTTCATTAGATCTTCAGCTCTTCCCTCACAGCCATTATGATATGATGAAGATGTTGTGCCAATATGAACAAAGAAATGCACATTTACTTCCTTGGCCAACCCTCTTCCAACTATCAAATCCAACAATAACCAATGATGAAATATTAGGTGAAACACTTTCATTGAGGAAAATGAAGCAGAAAAAATAATATGCCTTATGTGTTGAAGGTGAATACTCCAACCAAGAATACTGATTGTACCAATGCTCTTGAAATTGACGTTTCTATTTTCCATATTCTTTGCTTTGATACTCGAAAAGTTTTGTTGATAAGGCCCAACTTTTAAATAAGCACGCCTAATCTGATCACGTTCATTAAACGGATATTCATATATTTGCTTTCTTTTTCCTGGGTCTTGTTCTATAGAATCAGATGGTTCTAACTCAACATTGAAAGGTGAAGATCGCTCAATTTCAGGAGATACAATTGGAGGACTGGGTACCGTAGGAGTTGGAGTAGTAATTGGAGTATTGGGTACCGTAGGAGTTGGAGTACTCTCGGATTTGTCGCTCTTTGTAAAGAAAGATAATAAGGTTCTTCCTTTCTTGTCAAGAGGTCGATTTGGTTCCATATTAAAATCTAAAAAGCATTAAAAAAAAAATAAAAACATTTCAGTATCCCAACAATCCAAAAACAATCCACTAGCAACATTTTAACTACTTATCTAACCTTTGAAAAATATTATAACTAGCCAAAAATTCAACACCAAATCTAAGAATCATCATAAACTAATACTCGAACGTAAAATATAATTCAAGGTAATCAAGGTCAAGTGAAATACCTGCTTAGTGCTTACATAGTTTGTTGTCGTCTTGCCGACGAAGTGAACATGACAATTAGATGAATTATTAAGCTTGTTTAGATGTTTTATAAGCAAACCAATCAAATGCCTGTTAAAAAAAATTATAACCATAAAAATAACATAGCAAAAAAAATAATAATAATAAATGAGCATAATAAAAATTAGAACCATTTACTTACTAACCATGAGATACATGTTCTAAATGGAGTTTGTCCCCATGATGAGGAAACGTGTAATCCAACTGTCAATAATCACTTATTTTTCAATTATTTTGTACTGTATAATACATTAATCAGTTATGTTTATATTTCTATTCATTTGTTATTTGCTTAATGCTTATATAATCCAATGAAAATCATTTCAGAATTCAGATTCAGAATGAAATGCTGGAGGACGTATTAAAGACTTTCTTTCTCATTTTATTTCTATAAATTAATACTGTCATTGAAGTTGAGCAAAATTTGCACGTCTAATTAATTTCAATTATTTACAATGGCAAATTTGCACGCCTAATTAATTCCAATTCCAAAAAAATTGTCGCATAATAATATAACCTATCAACATAACATAGATAAAATTATCATTAATCAAATACATTACACATCGCAAAAAAAAATTAAAACATCAGAACACTGAACACCTTGCCAAAAAAATAGTTGTAATACCCAAAAAAAAGGTTATTCTAAATCTTGACATTAATATTAAAAACGGCCACAATTACTAATCAATAATGGAAGGAAATGTGTTGTTGGCTAAAAATGGGTTTCAAATCGAATTATCAAAGAAGTTGTCGTAAGCTGACCGAAACTCATCAAACTTCACTTGTTCTTCTTCCTTGTTTGTGGCCGACGATCTCCTTTGAGATGGTAATTAGGGAAAAGAATACAAAGGTTGGGGATTAGCCTATTAGGGTTATTTAAAGAATTGGGAATTTTTTATTTTCAAAAATTTCAATAAAAAAGCCAGAGATCAAGAGAGAGAGACACGTAAATCTAGGCAGGTGGAATGAAAATGGAGATATATTTGTCCATTTTGTTGTATAATCGGGTGTTGGGCAATGGCTATTGCCTATTGGGTATTAAAATTTTTTTTTTAGGCCAGGTTGAATTTAAAAAATGGGTGGGCTAATGGACTAAAACTAAAATTTTTCTAACACTTTTTTGAGCTTGTAATGGACATGGGCTAGCCCAGTGCTGCCCTCTTCACTCCGTCTCTGAGTACTCGCCTTCATGTGCGGAGTGTTAAAGCTCCGCGCACGGAAAGCACAAAGTGTTAAAACACTCCGTGCACATAGTGTTAGTATATGTTTTCTTTTTATTTTATTTTTTAATTAAAGTAATTTTTAATTTTAAAAAATAAATATATCTAAATATTTACTTAAAAATGTTGAAGTTAATATTTTTTTTATCTATAAGAAGCTTTTACAATTATAAGTGTTTTATTACTTTTAAATAACTTGAAGTGATTTTTTTCTTATAAGTAACTTTTTATATTCTAGATAGTGTAATCTTTTTATTAATACTTATAAGTAGCTTTTGCAATTATAAGAGAATGAAGGATTAATATTTTTTTACCTATATATAAGTAGCTTTTACAATTATAAATTTTTTTATTACTTTTAAATAACTTGAAGTAATTTTTTTACTTATAAGTAACTTTTTACATTCTAAATAGTGTAATCTTTTTATTAATATTTAATTTAAAAAACTAAATATATCTAAATATTTGTAATTAAAAAATTTTAAGATAATATTTTTTTTACTTATAAGTAGCTTTTACAATTATAAGAGAAGGAGTGATTAATAATTTTTTACCTATAAGTAGCTTTTACAATTATATATATTTTTAATTACTTTTAAATAACTTGAAGGGCTTTTTTTACCTATAAGTAATTTTTTACATTCTAAATAGTGTAATCTTTTTATTAATATTTAATTTTAAAAACTAAATATTTATACTTTAAAAAATTTAAGTTAATATTTTTTTTTTACTTATAAGTGGCTCTTACAATTATTAGTTCATTTTACTTTTAAATAATTTGAAGTGATTTTTAATTAAAAGTAACTTTTTACATTTTAGAAATAAAGAATAACTTTTATGTAAAAAATTATTTAAAAAAATATTATTACTAATAAAATTATAAGATATTATCGATAGTTGATAGCATGAGAAAATAGAAAAAGAGTACTGTGTGTTAGATTCAAAGCATGTATGTTGCAGGTAAAATAAAAATGACATCGTTTCTGCTTCACCAATTAAAAAAAAGCTATAGTTTGGCAAAATATTATTTAAAAAAATATTACTACTAACAAAATTATAGGATATAGTTAATAGTTAATAACGTGAGAAAATAAAGAAAGAGTATTGTGTGTCAGATTCAAAGGACCAAATCAGTTCAATGTGAAAACCAATGTGACAAAAATAAAATGCTAAAAAGATCACTTCAAGTTATTAAAAGTAAAACGAACTTATAATTGTAAAAGCTACTTATAAGTAAAAAAAATATTGACTTAAAATTTTTTATGTATAAATATTTAGATATATTTAGTTTTTTAAAATTAAATATTAATAAAAATTTTACACTATCTAGAATGTAAATAGTTACTTATAAGTAAAAAATACACTTCAAATTATTTAAAAATAATAAAAAACTTATAATCGTAAAAGCTACTTGTATATAGGTAAAAAATATTAATCTCTCATTCTCTTATAATTGCAAAAGCTACTTATAAGTATGAATAAAAAGATTACACTATCTAGAATGTAAAAAGTTACTTATAAGTAAAAAATCACTTCAAGTTATTTAAAAATAATAAAAAACTTATAATTGTAAAAGCTACTTATAGATTAAAAAAATATTAACTCCAATATTTTTAAGTAAATATTTAAATATATTTAATTTCTTAAATTAAATATTAATAAAAAAAATTACTATAATTTTAAATAAAAGGTAACTCCGTGCACGGAGTGATAAAGTTTATGGTTATGCATTTCTTTTTTTTTATATTTAAATTATAGTAATTTTTTTATTAATATTTAATTTTAAAAATTTAATATATCTAAATATTCACTTAAAAATGAAAGTTACTTATAGGTAAAAAAAAATATTAATCACTCATTCTCTCATAATAGAAAAGCTACTTTCAAGTGTTAATAAAAAGATTACATTATCTAGAATGTAAAAATTTACTTATAAGTAAAAAAAATTTCAAGTTATTTAAAAGTAATAAAAAGAACTTATAATTGTAAAAGCTACTTATAGGTAAAAAAATATTAACTTCAACATTTTTAAGTAAATACTAAAATATATTTAATTTTTTAAAATTAAATATTAATAAACAAATTACTTTAAATAAAATTGAAAAAATAATATGTGGAGTGGAAATACTCCATGCACGGAGTGGAAATTCCACTCCATGCATAAAAGTGAGAAACACTGCATGGAGTGTTTCTCACTCCACATATGTTTTTTTTTTTTAATACATAAAAATGATTCCTTATTTCTAAAATATAAAAAGTTACTTATAACTAAAAAAATCACTTCAGGTTATTTAAAAGTAAAACGAACTTATAATTGTAAAAACTACTTATAAGTAAAAAAATATTTAATTAAAATTTTTGAAGTATAAATATTTAGATATATTTAGTTTTTTTAAATTAAATATTAATAAAAAGATTACACTATCTAGAATGTAAAAAGTTACTTATAAATAAAAAATCACTTTAACTTATTTAAAAGTAACAAAAAAATTGATAATTGTAAAAACTACTTATAGGTCAAAAAATATTAATCCCTCATTCTCTTATAACTGCAAAAGCTACTTATAAGTAAAAACAATATTAACTTAAAATATTTTAAGTATAAATATTTAGATATATTTAGTTTTTTAAATTAAATATTAATAAAAAGATTACACTATCTAAAATGTAAAAAGTTACTTATAAGTAAAAAAAATCACTTCAAATTATTTAAAAGTAAATAAAAAATTTATAATTGTAAAAACTACTTATAGGTAAAATATATATATATATATATATATTAACTTCAACATTTTTTATTTAATATTTAGATATGTGTCATTTTTTAAAATTAAATATTAATAAAAATTTGCTATAAATAAAAGTTAGAAAAAGAAAGGAAAAAAATGCTCAGTGCATGGAGCTTACAGAGCTAAGAATGCTCATGGAGCCAACATTGCTCCGTGAGCATTGTTAGCTCCATACACGGAGCAAACAAGCTCCGTGCACGGAGCATTGCTTAAAGGTTGGTTGGTTTTTTATTTTTATTTATTTATTTATTTATATATATAATACTTATGTTTTCATTTTCGGACTCATTATGGGATATCAAATGAATTCGAAATATTACACTTTTGATATCATTTTGAAGTACTCATGGCATAGTATTACATGTCGTTAACGGTGCACGAAACGGCCAATTGTGGCAAATGTTACGAGGCGTCAAAATAGGCATTTTCAGACTATTATTTCGAGAATTTCGATAACAAGTTAATTTTAAAAATTCATAGATGATTGTACCGTAGTCGAATAAATAAATCTTTTATATTCTTTCGAAACTCATTTCGAGAAATATATCATAGACACATCGAATGATCTAAATGAATATCGAAAATAGTTAAATGTACATCAAACATGTGTGTTAAAAATGCGCATAACTCATCTTTTTCTTAAAAAATCAATTACTTTATTAATGTTTATTATTTTTTCTCGACAATTTTCTCACAAAATTACTTCAAGTTCTTTAAAAGTAAAAAAAAAAAAACTTATAATTATAAAAGTTACTTATAAGTAAAAAATATTAAATTAAATTTTTAAGTAGATATGTAAATATATTAATTTTTAAAATATATTTTACACTAACACATTTATCTAAATTAAATTTGCTAAAAAAAAAAAAGAAAAAAAAAGATCTCTCTCTCCAAAACATTGCTCCGTGCACAGAGAACAGTAAACCTCACATTCTCTCTTTTAAGATAAGGAGGAGTTTTTTTAAAATTAAATATTTATTAATAAAAAATTACTATAAATAAAATTTTTGAAAAAATTATCATCACTCCGTGCACGGAGTGGAATCACTTCAAGCGCGGAGTGTCATCACTCTATGTAAAAGAAGAGTTTTCTCCTTTTGAAAAATCAAAAGGAGAAATCTCTCCTTTTGAAAGTAGAGATTCTCTTCGTGACGTTACATGGAAGATACCTTGCACCAAGATTGAAACCTCAAACATGAGGACTTTTGAAAACGAAAATTCAAATTCTCTATATACACTTTACACTGACTTTTGTGGAAATGAAACATGATTCATGATTTGAGGTTACATGGAAGACACCTTGCCCCAAAAAAAAAAAAAAAAAGATAGAAATATTGACTTGTTGGGTTCCAAATCACGTTGTATTTGAGAGTAATTATTCTAAATTTATTTCTTCTCTAACATTGAAGGGAGCCAGAGTATATTTGGTATATGTTCTAGATAGTACACGATGGTCCAAAGTAAATTATTAGTTCAAAAAGTTTGAGAAAATAATCATGAACTGATGCCTATAAATGATCATTTTAATAATAAATGAATTTGAAAAATACTTGGTCGAATGTGGGGAGTTTAATCACATTTTTAGTTTAATTTGCAAATTTTAACCGTTTGAATATCTTGAAATCAAACTTTAGTTGATTTGTTTGGTATGAGAACTTTAACATAAGACCGTATATCGTTCCATACACATATGTAGATATTCTTTCTTGGCACAAAGTGGACTTGTTCAAGGTTAACAAGTATTTTTATTTTTTTTTAACTGAAAAACGAAAACAAAAATAAATTATAAGCTTTAATTTTTTATAAATTTCTGATCGATTATATGAAATGGTTATTATCATCATTCCTTTGGTATGTTAAATCATTCACAATCAAGACAAACAGTGAACTTGGAATTATTTTTCCTAGATTCATGTATGTATGTACACTTTGTTCCTACTACGGTGGTGTTCACGGTAGCGCTACCGGAGGCAGTGGTGAGGTCGTTGTCACAATTGGTTTTGTGGTCATAAATTGTTTGATTGATTGTCAGTAATAAATTGATTAATGTGTGACTAATGAAATACATAATTTGTGACCAATAAATAATGTGTGATTTAAAAATTTGCGAAGTTGTGATTAGAAATTTAATTTTGACCTAGAAATAATGTGTGACAATTAATTTGATATTTTATGATCATGAAATAAGTTGCAACTTCTAAAATTTGTGATTTGTGATTAAAAAATAATATATTACTTATAAATTTGTTAAAATTGTGATCGAGAAATAAGCTGTGACTGTAACGTTTGTAATTGTAACTAATACATACTTGTGTCCATAATTTATATAATATTGTGACCTTAATAATATTCAATAAATACAATATATATTTTTAATTAATTTTTTATATATAAAATTTAACCAATATTTGATTTCTAAAATAATAAACCCTGTTTTTTAGTTTTGAACTGGACTATACTTAATCTCTTAGCTATAAAATTTTCCGTTGAAACAAATTTGGGTGCTATGGACTGTTGATATTAATTGTAACATTACTGATGACCCGAGACAATTAACCCCCGTTTGAGCCGCATTTTTCAAAATTAAATTTCTTTAAACTCATTTTCAACACTTACATTCTCTCAATAAAATAATTTTGCAAGTAATCAAAAAAATTTCTTACTTTTGGCTAAAATGAATGAATTCAAAATTTCAAATGGGGGACCGAAACACCAAGTACTTTTGACTGTGTGATAAAAAAAAAATGAATAACCAAATCTATTATTCACACTATTTTATTGAAAAATAGAGATACATTTGAAGGTCTAAATCAAGAATTTTAGCGATTAATTACTTTCATGAGCTATTTACACGTGAATCTTCTGAGCTCCCCAATTCTCAACTAGATTTAATCTCTCAGTAATTGCTGAGTTTGAAAACACTATGAAATAAATAAGCGTGGGTTTGGGATGTTGGGTTCAATCATGGGTTGGGTTTGAGTGCTGTTCGATTCGATGGGCATGCAGTAGCAATACCTTCTCTTCGTCTTCCTCAACTTCAGAAGAGTCACAAATGAGAAATGATTTATGATTTTGGAGTGAAATCGGGTTGGGGTTGGGTTATGGGTGATGTATATCAATTTTATTTTATAATAATAATAATAATAATAATAATAATAATAATAATAATAATAATAATAATTATTATTATTATTATTATTATTATTATTATTATTATTATTATTATTATTCAAAGGTTGAATTATCTTCTGATTTTTTAACCAAAAACTTTTAAATCTGATTTTTGAATTGAAAAGTTAAAAAATCACACAATGTGTTGATGTTATTTCCTCTTTTTTCAAATTCATTGAAAAGTTAAGCACATGTGAAAGGGCTTTTCCCCTCTCACTTTTCTTATTGTCAAAAGTCCTTTATTTTGATTTTCTTATTATAAAAATTTACAAAAAAATTACTATTCTATTTATTTTTATTTATTTCTTCTTTTATTCAATTATAATTACAAAATATTGAGAGGGAAAATGTTAATAAAATTATAATTTCAATTATATTAATTATATATTTTTTAATTTGTATGAAAACAAAAGCAAGTCTATTTTTAGAGGATGAAATGTTGGGATTAATTAGTCCACGCAAATAATGTTGCTATCGATAATTTACTACCACATCATTTTTTGAACAATCATAAAATGTTATTTTTAACAAAGATTAGTACTATCATTAAAATATTAACCACGTAAATATGTTAGACAATGATCTTCAGATATGAGAACTTGAAAATTTCAATAGATAAAAGAGTATAATTTAATTCATACCTTTATAAAAGTCATAATTTGGGAGGAGAATTCAGCGACATTATGTTTTTCATAACTTAATTAAATTTTCATATTTAGACCACAACGTCAAACCCAAATTACTTGGGATATTGAAAAGTTTACAATATGCTTAATAAATGTAGGGTTTAATTAGTCAACGCAAATCATTGAAAATCAGGTGAAAATGTATCTCTCAATTTAAATGGTTTATTTGGGACTCAATTTTTAACAGTCATTAATGAAATGTTATTTTAGATGAAAATTAGTAACTCTCGATAAAATTTCAATTTAAACAATGTAGATAATGATTTTTCGTATCCTAGAATTTCTATGTTCAATAAATAAAAGAGTTTACTTTATTAGAGGTATTATATGTATCAAAAGCACAGTCTAAGAGGGTATTTGTCTGACAAGTTACGTTTTTCAAAACATAATTCATTTCAGATACTAACTTTGTCCCTTTTAGGCATAGCTTAAATAGTTGATGAAAATTTAAGTCAGTCAACAATTAATATAATATTATAAGCGCTAACGTGTGAATGGTAACTTATTAAGTAGCATACTAACTAAACATTCAAGGCTGGGACCTGGGGCATTTCCTCTTATTAATCCAAAAGAATTCCCACTCTAAACCTCACCCAATTATTTATTGGATATGTTTTTCTTTATGGATACATCAACGGGTAGAAAATACAAGCTGAAGTTGCATTGAAATAACAAAGAAATTTCGTATGACCTCGAGCATCCCCATCTTAAAATCCAAAGTGCAGTCGCTGGAAGAGAGCTGAATGATTCAACAAAATGATTGACTCTAAAGCACCAATTCCATGGATAGCCGTATGCGCTGCTGTAGCATCTGGAATATTGACTCTTTTACTTTTTGCTGATAAAGTGCACTCTCTGCACCATAAAAAATTATGGTTCCCCTGCAGATATGCTGCTCTTAATGCTACTTTCTTGGCTCTGATAGGCATCGCAGTGAAGTTACCAATGGATCTAACTACCCCGATGCCAGGTACGTATGATCAAGCCGCTAAAAGAGTTGGCTTTGCTTTCTCGTGTGCTTCAACTGCTCATGCCATGCCTTCTCTAGGATCCATGAATAATAGAGAAATTATTGTGAACTTAACAGCAATTAGTATGCTTAAAGTGAGTCTCGCGGTAGATGTTATCATCCAAGTATTAACAGGCGTGATTGAAGATGATTTCCTTGTGATGGTTGTAGTTATAGATGTTTATGTGCTCTTTATGTTGATTTCTTCTACTTTAACAGTATCTACAAGAAAAATGCATTTGGAACATAAGTATAACGAATTGCACGCAAGAACTTCAGCAGAGGAACTATAACGAGACGAAATAATGGTCTTCGACAAGTTAAAGTCACATGTAAAGAAGTACTGGGTGATGGCAGAAACAGGTGACCCTCGGTTAGTGATGGCACGGTCTGGTGACTTCTGGGTTATATCGTTGATAGTTATAATTTTCTCTGTCGATGGATTAGAAGTGATTACAAACAATAAGCCAGAAATTGCTTCCGACTATAAATGCTCAGTGTATCTAGTTTATTATGCTCAATCTACAGGCATAGTTCTTTGCACTTTCATGTCTTTTGGAAGAATCCTATTAGCTACATTTTACATGGCACGGAATATTAAAACATGTACCATCTCAAGTATTTCCTTAGACATAAAGAGTTACAGGATCAACAGATTGGTAGAGTGGAAAAAGAGGCTCCCATCATCACATGTTCGATACCAGAAGCTTAGAAAAATTATTTATGAAACGAGAAATCTACTTCTCAACATTTGTATAGGAGCTCAGATAGCGATTGTGATCATAAATAAATTGCTTTGCGCATGCGTACTTTTTTTAATTATCCTCAAACCAGTCAAGATTCCACGTGGTTATTGGGAACTAATTGGGGACCTATTAAGCATGACACTATTTGTTTCTATGTTGTTCCAACCCTTGATCATTAGATGCCTCAATGTAATGAAGAACTTTTACTCCGGGGAATCCGAGGCCTCAGTCAATCCCATTGAATCAGAACACAGGCTTGGTTACGAGAAAGATCTTGAAAATTATTTTGTACTTCTAGAAAGTGAGGCAGTAGAAGCAGTACGCCTGATGTTCATTAACGCTTCTATTAATTCATTCATAATGACGGGTTCAAAGCGTCAGCCAAGATGTCTAATGAAGCTTATGGAGAAATCCACCAGCTTCGAGGGTGTACTAAAATTTGAAAGTGATCAAGTCTCTTTAATAATTTGCGAAGAACCTCTTAATTGCTGGAGTCTATCCGTGGCAACGCTAACAAGCATCATGATTGCTCTTCCAAACGTTCAAGATGAGAAGAAGAATCAGTTGTTAAGAAGTGTCATTCAAGGTTTTAAGTATGTCCGCCCAATGGAGAAAAGTCTGGATGTTCATAAAAAAATTGTGAATAGCAAGAGCGCTGCAGATTTTGCATGGGGTTTAGTTGAAATGAGGCACAAATGGTTAGACATGGATCTCCAAGAAATTGCCACGGTATCAAAATCCTCCAAAGAAACTCTTCAGAATCTTGCAAATAGAAGTGAAGAAATTTTGAGAAACTTCACGAGTAGAATAAACGGAAATACTATGGAAAGCTCAGTTAACTTGCCCGAAAATATCATAATTGCCAATTCAATGTACAAAATAAGCAACAGTTTGCTGTTGGTCTATGAGGAAAGCTACCATTCAGCATCAGATACTCAAGTGTTTGAGAGATTGTCAGTTATCATTGCAGATATATTTGCTGCATGCCTGACCAATATACCTCGTCTTATACTCAAGAAATGCAGCAATAGCGCCATAGAAGAACGGGAGAAAAGTATAGAGGAGGCAAGTTACATGTTGGGAGAAACTCAAGGCATTCTGGAAGCTCTTCAGAAGCGTGAAATTCCCAATCTATCACCTGATCAATCAATATATATTGACGAATGGCGTACCTTTCTCAAAAATACTAACCATGGTAATTCGGGCCCAACTCCTAGCAGTGAGAATATTGTTACTACTTCAAGTGGTGAGGTGCATTTGGATATACAAGAACTTCGTGCAAGTGCTACAAAAGGTATGAATGTACAGTTGTTCTCTAGTTCCATTCAGATTTTGCCTCGGAATTTATTATTAATATTCATGTTCCAATTATGAAGACATCAGTTTTTATCTAGGCTTTTATTAAATTTACATTTCACAAAGTAAAAATTAGTAAAAAGTTCTTTTGTATCTAATTGTAAATAACAAAATAATGCATGAAGATAATATTACCTAATATACATTTTAAATTGAATTTTAAAGGAAACTCTTTTAAACGTAAATAGTGTAAAAAGTTGAAGTACGCTAAATTTTGTGTTTTCAGAAGCCTTGGGAACTGATGAAGGCGATGCGGAGTCTCATGTGAGCGGGGAAGTGGAAGAGTTAGATGATGAGGAAGAGAACAACCAAGCATAAAACACTTTTTGGAAGTTGTTGTTTATAAACATCTTTTTTTGTGTGTTTATTGGAGTTTGCCACACAACCGTTGTGATTTGTTAGTCATACATGTATTATCATAAATACCTAGTGGCACCTGTTGTTGGCATATTATTAGACATTATCCTGCATATTGTGAAGATTAGATCTGTCGTTTAATATTGTTATGTTGTTATAATGTGTTGATCACTATAATAGATTATTCACTTATCGTCGGGTTGCAATGCCAAGCAAGTTTTGTGGCAGTGATGATCCATGATTGATCTTCAGGCTTAGGCCTAAATTGGAGACAAACCACGTGGTCCAACCCTCACAAGATCCGTCCAAACCCAGACCCATTTAAAAGTGCTACTTTAAGAACATGTTTTACTTGGATTGTCACTTGGTAGCAACTTCAGTGTATTTGGAGCAATCCAGGTATTGTATGGAGATACAATCTTATAAATTTTAATCTTTTAGATTTTAGAGTTATCAATTTTCCCACTGTGTATATCTGAATCTTGTAAATTTGCCTATAACAATTGAATGAAATATACACAGTTCACAAAAACATTTTCTTCTTCTCATTTTCCTTTTAGCCATCTTCACATGGTATTAGAGTTGTAAACAATATCATTTTCCAGTCTCATATTCATTCACAATGTCTGATAAAACTGTTGCCACCAATATCACATAATCATCATCGTTGCCATCTATCAAATCAGACCTTTATGCCATTTATCATTCAGATAGTCCCTCTATCGTTCTTGTTACACCTCTATTGACAGGAGACAATTATGGATCATGAAGTCATGCAGTAACAATGGCACTTCGTGCAAGAAGCAAACTTGGTTTTGTTGGAGGATCACTTCCAATTTCAAAGGAGAAAGATGATGTTTCCAACTGGGAACGTAGTAATGATTTGGTTGGAAGTTGGATTCTTAATTTTGTCTCACCTGAAATCCGTCCAAGTATCTTGTATGCTGAAATCGTATCACAAATTTTGATGGATCTGAAGGATCATTTTTCTCAATCAAATGCTCCTAAAATCTATCAATTGAAATAATCAATTTCC